ATAGACTAGAAAATAGAATAGAATAGAATAATTATGAGTAAAGTAGAGTAGAATAGACTAGAAAATAGAATAGAATAAGAATGAGTAGAGTATTATAGACTAGAAAATAGAATAGAATAGAATAATTATGAGTAAAGTAGAGTAGAATAGACTAGAAAATAGAATAGAATAAGAATGAGTAGAGTATTATAGACTAGAAAATAGAATAGAATAGAATGTGTAGAATAGACTAGAAAATAGAATAGAATAAGAATGAGTAGAGTATTATAGACTAGAAAATAGAATAGAATAGAATGTGTAGAATAGACTAGAAAATAGAATAGAATAAAATGAGTAGAATAGAATAGAAAATAGAATAGAATAAGGATGAGTAAAGTAGAATAGAATAGAAAATAGAATAGAATAAGAATGAGTAAAGTAGAGTAGAATAGAATAGAAAATAGAATAGAACAGAATAGAACAAAATTCTTTATTGGCCAAGTGTGACTGGACACACACGGAATTCGTCTGGTGCATAGGCTCTCAGTGTACATAAGGGGAATAAAATACATTCGTCAAGAATAAAAAGAGACAACACTTAATGATAGTCATAGATTGCAAATAAGCAATCAGGAAACAATCAATATAATCATAAGGATACAAGCAACAAAGTTACAGTCATGCAGTCCTAAGTTGGGAGCAGATGGGTGATAGGAACGATGAGAAGATTAATAGTAATACCGTGTTTCACCGAAAATAAGACAGCGTTCTTTTGACATTTTTTGAAATAAGCGCTTGGCCTTATTTTCAGGGAGGCCTTATTATTTTTGAGGTGCAGAAGGCGGCGAGCGTGGCCACCTCATGGCTGCTGCCGCATTGCAATATTTTCGGGGAGGGCTTATTTTAGCGCATGGGCTCAAAAGCCCCGATTGGGCTTATTATCCGGGGAGGTCTTATTTTGGGGGAAAGAGGGTAGTAATGCAGACTTGGTAAATAGAGGGCAGGAGAAGAAGTAATGGATGGAAGCTCCTGAAAGAGAGATTCAATCTAGAATTAAGGAGGAATTTCCCGACAGTGAGAACGATCAGTCGAATTTCTTACCCCTGAAAGTCATAGGTGCTCCCATCACTGGAAGTTTTCAAGAAGACATTGTCCAGAACGGTATCGGGTTCTCCTGCTTTAGCGGCGGGGTGGTGGTGGTGGGTTGGACTAGAAGACCTCCAAGGTCTCTTACAGCTCTCTGTGATTCTGCATGGAGATGGCTGTGATATGCTCATTTCCAAGTTGCTTCTTAAATGACTTTTCCTTTTGGATCGAAAGCCTATTTTTAACTGCTCTGGAGGCATCTGCTAGAAGATCTCATTCCTGCACCTGAGGTTCAGAAGGTGGAAATTGCACCCCCCCCCAAAAAAAAAAGCTAAGATGCAAAGCTTCTTGTTCACCATGATTTGGGGTTGCTTGTTGCTTTTTTCCTCTTAGCTTGACTTGGCTTTGGCCCAATCTCGGGCCAAAAACGGGCCCTTTTTTTGTGTCCAACCTTGCATTTCTTCCAGAGCTTAAAGCGAAGTCTGGAACAGGCTCGGATGGAAGTGTCTCAAGAGGATGACAAGGCGCTGCAACTCCTTCACGATATAAGAGAACAAAGTCGCAAGTTGCAGGAAATCAAAGAACAGGTACAGATAACGCTTGTTCCGGAGGCTGTACTGTATTTTTCGGAGTATCAGACGCACTTCCCCCCCCCCCCTAAAAAAGGGTGAAAATGTATACATCAAATGTAGCCAAAAATGCGAGGCACCGAGGAAGAGGCGATGGTCTGTGTCAGGAGTCAGCAAACTGTGGCTCTGGAGCCGCATGTGGCTCTTGAGCCGCATGTGGCTCTTTCCTCCCTCTGCTGCGGCTCCGTCACTACTCGGTGCCACAATGCACAGTGCGCTAGGAGAAGACTCTATGGCAAGGGGAGGGTTTTCCAGTTGTCTTCACAATTGATAGGGCTTTCGGTTATAACAGGTAGAGGAAAAAGTAC